CTCAAAGACTCTTTGGCAACAGGAGGAAAAAGTTTTTTAAAACTTTATTTGACGGGCCAGGAAGTAACACAAACCATTTAAAGTGGTTTTCATGGGATTTGACTTATTATTCTATACATGCAGTTGTAATGTCCTGGTGTACATTGAAATCACAAATAAGGTCCCATATGCAACTGAAAGAGGCTGCTGAGGGTGGCCATCCTAATCGGTAAGATCTGTGATCGTACTAATAAATCAAAGAACTGTGTGGGAACAGCCACTTACTGGCAGCATTTGTGAGTATTGTTGTGGTGGAATAAGAGGCGTGGGGAAATGAATGTCTCACAGATATAAAGCTTCACCCGTTACACCTAAGTGCCAGACCCTTACTCGAACCCTCAAACAGGCCTTTGAAGGGTTGTGAAAATGTCTTCCACAGTGTCATTGCTGTGATCTCAAATAGCCGGACAACAACGCGCAACAAGATGCAACAAGACTGTAAAATTACACAATTGTGCCTGTTCTGCATTGCTACATTTGGAACAGGCACAATTGCTGTATAAGCGTGTGTGTTGTAGCTGCCCAGTCTTTTTCACAGCTTGAACTGGTGTATTGATGGAGATCAAACATTTGTCACACTTGGTACTGGACCTGCTGAGGTCCCAGTTCTGATAACTGACTTGTCTGTAACACTTTCACTGCTGATTGCCTGAAGCTGACACGCTTTCGTGTGGAAACAACTGGAATAAAGTTTGCACACAGACTGATTTAGCAGCTGTTTCTGGCAGCCGTAGTTTTGGTGGTCAGTGATTGTGTTCTCCTAAACTGTAACATTTAGGTATTTGTAAGTAGTGGTGACAAAAACCTGGTTAAAATCTCTCTGAACAGGAGCACGGATCCAATGAAAAGCATAACTGTTGATTAGCTTTGACGTGTTCTGGTTGGTCGTCTTATTATAGCTGGTTATGTTCTGACTATTCTGTTCTCTCTTGATAGCTTCATTTGGTAAAAGGTGCAGTTCTGTCCAATGCAGCTGCTTCTTTAAATATTTTTATAGACTAGTCACATGCAACACCAGTAACTGCCACAGTCGGACAGTTGTACAGTTGTATGAACCTTTTTAGAACAAAAGATCATTTGTTTCCATTTTGATCAAAATGTGTAAGGATCAGAAAATGTATCCAAAGACACGTACGTGTGTGTGTGTGTGTGTGCGTGCGTGTGTGTGTGTGTGTGTGTGTGTGTGTGTGTTCACATAACTTTGTAGCACATGGTCAGGGTGAGTCAGCCAAGTTTCTTGTGTGACAGAACAAAGTGATGTGCCTTTGCTACATGTTATGTGACGATCCTGTTTGTACTTCTCACCATTTGGACACGTCAGTAAAAAATCATCCACAACTGTAACAAAGACTCAACATATTTATATTCACTTCAATAAACATGTTTCTGAAATGTTACAAAATATATAAAAAAAACATCACATTTGGTTTTATGTCTCAATTTTTTAACGACTTGGACGTCCATCTGCTCTGCCATCACTCAAGTCCTCTCAGGACGCTTCTTTACAGCACTCAATGAACTTCTGTTAAAACCTTAGTAAACTACACAATCCACTAATAAAACCACCTTTCGCAGTATTAACTTGAACTTGAAGTCTTTCACGTTGTTGTGGAGGAATTTTGTCCCGCTGCTTTACAGGGTTCCTTCGGTTCATAGTGTCTTTAAGGTCCTGCCACAGCATGTCATTCAGATTGGTTTGCTTGTATATTTACTGTTGTGCTTGGGATCGTTGTCCTGCTGCGTGATCCAATTTAGGCAAAGCTTTAGCTGTCAGAAAGATGGACTCACATTTGGTTTTAGAACACTTTAGTACATAGAGAAGGTGCCCAGGTCCTTTGGCAGCCCTCCACCATCACACTTGGTAAGAGAAGTGTATTTACATACACCGACCTGAAGACAGAAAAGCTCATGAAGTTTTGTTACTCGTGGGAGTCCATTGAATCACTCATTGTCTGCCCTCTCACCCAGGACCAATTTGTCTTGGGAGACCCTCGTCAACATAGCCTCTGAGATCACGGAAAAAGTGGCGTTTTACTCACATGGAGTATAGTCCCAAGCCCCGTGCTATTTAAAGGAGCTGGTAATTGTGTCGCTTTTGCTAGTGCTGTCCCTCAGTTTGTTAATCACCATATTTCTGTTTGTCGTCACACAGCGCTGCAACCGCAGAACAGCCCCACAAGCAGCAACCGTAACCATAGACTCTGACAGAAGGACCCCTGTAGAGCAGGAGGCCCGAAGGGCGAATGTGTTTCTGAGCAAAAGGAACGAACAAGGACAGCAAAGTGGCAGCGAGTTGGTTTGTAACGCTGCGCTTTCAGGTTCTAATGGACATTTGCCTAACACCCCCATCTAAACAGAGGTCCAGAGGTACAGATGAAAAAAGTCAC